TTACCATAAAGAGCCTCAGCTTTTGAGGCTTATCAGATTCATTTTTGACAGCACATGTAACTGACATTGTTTTTATCACCATGGTCACTTACTTTAAAGTCAATGGAATTTGATCCTTGTCTCTGTCTGTGTCCACAGAATGTTTTGGATGTGATTAGCCTTATATCCAGGCTAAATTTCACAAAGACAACATCCTTCAACCTTGTCCTATTCACGAATGTTGATGATGTCAAGGTAGTCAAGGAACAGATGATAGAGGGGGGAGCAGCAGATACTCAAACAGCACATTTCTATGTGAAAAATGTTCCCCAAAGACGCGAGAAGACAGGTAATAATATTATTGCACATTTATGATTTTTTAAATGCTTCACCCGCCCATCCAGATAACTGACGTACATGTACCTGTATAATTAATGTTATCCATAAGGAACATAATCTTGGGGAATATTGTATTGATGGGTTTACATGTAATTGTCACACAACAAAATTAAAAAAAAAAAACAGAGGGCTTCTTGATGCTTGTTCTTTAAAAACTGCGATATCTACCAAGTTTTTAACATCAACAGATTTAAGTTATAACAAGTGTTAATATATTTTAAAGTGATGATGGCATTTTAAAAAATCAGTCAGGCCATCAACTTTGTTCTGAAAGCAGAAGTTAATTGGCCAACTAGAATTCCGAAAAAAGTGTTAGCTACATGTAGCCTCTGGTTTACTCTTTACTCAAACCACAATGTTTGTGAACCATTTTGTCCAGTTCTGCTTGATGAACATGCTGTGTGGTTTCTTCTGTTTTGAGACTGTTGATCAATGAAAATCTAATTTGGAGCAGATTGTGCGAATGTTAAATTTCAGCATTACCACTACAAACTGAAATAANAGTCTCACTCGATGGAATGCGAATCGATGTTATTCGTTACGAACCACACACCGAGTATCTTTGAGGCCTTCCAAATTCTTTTTCCAACAGCTTCATTGTTTTTTACTGCTACGAAGTTGTTTCATCAAGTGATACGAGAAAGAAAGAAACATAAAGCTTCGACCGCTTCGCATCCATAATGGCGGTTGTTTTAAAACTTTGAATTTAATCAGTTCCTGTAAGTAGCTGCGAAATGTTTACATTTTGTGATGTCTTACATGAAGCATGTATGGATTGGATTATTGTGGGAGTGAGTCGTTGTCACCTGTGCGCTGGCCGAGCACTTCCATACACCTGTGCATGTGGTTGATGTCTTTTGCAGGTGTCAAAACTTGAGATGAGCTTGGAGGACATGAAGTCTGCAGCTTCAGAAATAAAGTTATTGCGGCCAGTTCAAGAAGCCGTTGTTCTATTCTTTAAGGCAGAGACTTGGGAAGAGGTTGCAGATGAATTTGGATCTGAAGTCTTGCCAGAGAAGCTGTTGCGCTCCGGTGTAAGTATATAAGTCCTGGTTATATCAAGATACATTCTGTTGCCTTAGCAAAATAACATAATGGTTATTTAATTTGATAATAATGATTTCAACAACTTGATAAAGTGTAAGAATTTTACCATGGATAATTATGTGGCTAGCCTTATGTGGGATGAAACATACCTATGTAAGGCTAGCCACACAATTATCCATAATAATGATTTCTTCAAAAAAAATGTATACTATTAGCTTTCTTTTACACAAAGTCCAGTCAGTATGGAGATTATTTGAAAACTTGGGATGCAAATAATGGAAACAAAATATCTGTTTTACTGCTTCATAATTTTCATGCATGTGAAAAAGTCAGGAATAAAAACAGAGTAAGATGTGCATGTTCAATAACATTAACAAATGGCATACTGTATGTCTTACTTCCAGGTGAAGGATTTTGAACAATTACATGAATTTCAAAAATACTTAGAAAGACTGAGGAGACAGAGAGATGATGAGGGTGTCCAGGAAGTGGATGGTCTAGTGGATGGCAAAAATGGAGCAAAGGGAATCATTGTCTTTTCTCAGGATTTCAGCATGGTGGAACAGGCAGCTGTAGTAAAGTTACCTCATTTTCACGGTGCATTTTTGGCCATAGGGAATGCAGGCAATGATTGTGAAGTAAGTACACATATCTTGATTATGTTAAAAATAAAATCAAGGTGGCAACTTACTGTAAAATAGTTCTTGGGCATCTTTTACCAGTGGTTGAATAATAAACGGTATTATACAGAGTTTTACAAATGTGATGGCAAGGTACAGTGTTTGGAACATATTACCGTAAACTCACATTTTTACATGTCACAGTGAACAGACAAGGGCATTTGCCAGAACTGCAAAGACACATTTTTACCATATAGAGCCTCAGCTTTTGATGCTTATCAGATTCATTTTTGACAGCACATGTAACTGACATTGTTTTTATCACCATGGTCACTTACTTTAAAGTCAATGGAATTTGATCCTTGTCTCTGTCTGTGTCCACAGAATGTTTTGGATGTGATGAGCCGTATATCCAGGCTAAATTTCACAAACATGTAGCCTCTGGTTTACTCTTAAAAACCACAATGTTTGTGAACCATTTTATTCAGTTCTGCTTGATGAACATGCTGTCTGCAGGTTTCTTCTGTTTTGAGACTGTTCATCAATTAAAATCTAATTTGGAGCAGATTGTCCAAGTGTTAAATTTCAATATCACCACTACAAACTGAAATAAATAAAAGGAGCTTGTTGTGTTTATGTTTTCCATTTTCATTTGTTTCAGGCCCTCATTTGAGAGAAGTAGTGAAGACCTTTGACATGGGCCACTGGTCAGTGTCACGACAAGTCACCACCAGACATTTGTCCGTCTCTACAAGCCCAGAAAATTTAATCACTGTGGGCTATGCCCCAAACCAGCCATTGCCAGATGATGCCTTTTCCTGGCTGGTGGAGCATCTCTCTAGAGAAGGAGATACAGTTGTTGATGTTAATAGTAAAAGTGGGGGTGCCTTTGTTGCGGCCCTCAAAGGAGGCAGAAATGCTGTGTGGATTAGCTCTGCCTCCTCTGAAATGCAAAGTGAGATGAAAGCAACAGTTGACAGTATTTTTGCCAGTGACTCTGATGAATGTGACAGAACCATCTCTGCAGATTAGGATTACAGTGATCATAATATTTCAAATGTAATTTAAGCATTCATATGCTTATCACTTACCACTGTTTTTCTATAATAGTTTTTAAATGATCTTTTGAAGTAGTGGAGCACAATTATTTTTAATGGTTTCAAGTTCTTGTATATTATTCTAAGTTTGAAACTGAATACATTAAATTATTTTCATTTGTTAGCTCTGTGCAGTATTTCTGTGGTCTGTGTTCTGATCACAGGTTGCAGAGTTTCTGCAGCCTGTGCTCTGATTCCAAGGTGCAGAATTCAAAATGTGTGCAGTTTGCAATGCCTTAGTAAAATGGTTGCCTGTGCTCTGATCCCAGAGTGCAGTATTTCTGAAACCTGTGTTCTGATCAGAGGGTGCAGAATTTCTGCGGCCTGTGTTCTGATCCCAGGGTGCAGAATTTCTGTGGCCTGTGTTCTGATCACAAGGTGCAGAATTTCTGTGGTCTGTGTTCTCTTCACAGGGTGCAGAATTTCTGCGGCCTGTGCTCTAATCACAGGGTGCAGAATTTCTGCAGCCTGTGCTCTGATCACAGGGTGCAGAATTTCTGCAGCCTGTGCTCTGATCACAGGGTGCAGAATTTCTGCAGCCTGTGCTCTGATCCTAGGGTGCAGAATTTCTGCAACCTGTGCTCTGATCACAGGGTGCAGAATTTCTGCAGCCCGTGCTCTGATCACAGGGTGCAGAATTTCTGCAGCCTGTGCTCTGATCACAGGGTGCAGAATTTCTGCAGCCTGTGCTCTGATCACAGGATGCAGAATTTCT